GTACTGAAGGTTTACCTGAAGAAGAACCAATACACATTGAACACCTACTCTAGGTTGGGCCATTATTATTTATTTTTCTGGTACTGGAAATTGAAACTAGGGCCTTCACACTGAACTACAAAGTGTCCCTAAGCCACTGAGTTTCCCTGTCTGGAAGCAGGGTCTCCCTAAGTTACTAAGTTTCCCAGCTTACCTTTGAACTCAAAATTCTCCTGCTTCAGCCTTCTAGAGTATCGGAATTACAGGCATGTACCACCATATCTGGCTTAGATTAGACCTTTTGCAATTTTATTCACAACCCTCTGAATTTATGTAGCTATTTACAGCAAAGGGAGCTGATATTTACTATTTAATGCTGCTACATTCCAGGTATTGAGTAATTTGTAGATGAAGAATCTCACAAAAGACTTGCCCAGTAGCACAAAGAGACTGAGGATGGTAGCATTTAAACTGGCTTTGCTAATCCTGTGGAACTTTCTAAGACCTCGATCCCTAAAAACCAATCCCCATATATACAATGGCGTCCTTTTGCCCTAAGTGCTCTAGGTTTTCCCTTGCAGCCTTCTTTGTCTGTCTAGTGTGTTCTTCTGTGAGCTCCCCAAGAGCAGCAGGGACTTTATAGGTCCCTTTGTCCCTCTGCTGGGCTCCTTTATTCTTCCTGCCATTATGACTTTGAGAACAGCAGAGGTACAGTCAATAAAGAATGCTTCCTATATGCTTATTATTTCATTAGTGACCATTTTGATCCCCACAAAAAAAACCTACTGTCATGGTAGGTTTGAGCATACCTATTCTGTTTTACAGATAAGCAAGTTGAAGTCTGAAAAAATGAAACAATGTGGCCTGTTTGAAAGGAAATAAATGGCAGAGAGCCTCAAGTACGCATTTGTGTGCTGTTACTACAGGCTGGCCTGACACTTACACAGGGAAGCTGGCTGCAACCGGAGCCTCATGGACAGGTCTCCTTCCTAGGAGGGCTGGTGGAGTCCACTTCCTTGCAGCCCAGGGCTGAGTTGGCTGCAGAGGCCTTGGAGGTTTCTGAGTGGCAAGCAGTTGACTCTGGGAGGGAGGAAGGTAAATCCCTGTAGTCACCCAAAGCTCATTCCCAACTGGGACTACTGTGTTCCCTGTCTGTTTGGACATCCCTGTGTCTACCCCTGCCATGTTCTTTATGGAAACTGCAAAGGGGCTTTTTGGGCAGTTGCTAAGGATCATGCACTCTTTCTTGCCCCCCTGGCAGAGCCCAGGAAGTGTGACATGGCCTGAGATCAATTCTGTTCTCACTTTAAACCATGGGCTATTTCATCCTCTCCTGCAGTTTCAATTACCAACCACACCTATGGTTCTCATCTTTTGCTGCATCTCAGAATTGCCCGGGCAGCCTTCAGAGCATTCCGATGCCAGGCCCTTTTCCAAGTCCAATGAAGGGACTGGCCCAGGGAGCATCATTTACAGAATTCTGTGGTGTAGTGAGGTGGAGAACCACTGATTCATCCTCTGATCACAGTCTTCCAACTCCAACTCTCTATCAAGCTCCCCACCTGTTCCCCTGACATCTCCTCCTGTGTTCCCCTCAGGGTGCTGCAAACCCAACTTGCTCAAGTCAAGTTCATAATGTGGTTAAAACCTGTTTCTCTCTCCAAGGCTCCTGTCGCAGCGAACACGATCACCTGCGGTCATGGAGCAGCCTGGTGTTTGCTGCACAGCCCTGCCACTCTTTGCCATGTTCCTTGTGTCTAGTCCATCACTCTGAAGATTTGCTTCAGTAGCAGTGACAGAGGGACCTGAAGTTGCAGTGTTCAAACAGAATAGAAGTGGCTTCCTTCTTAGATAAAAGCTCTAGTAGGCATCTCAGGGATGGTATAGCAGTTCCATCACCACCTCAAGTCTGGAGCCCTAAGTGATGTGACTTCCTGAAGAAACGGCCTTCTCTTTGTTCATCGTGAATGCTTTGGTTCCTACCGTCACATCTCCATTAGAATTAGTGGGCAGGAGAAAACGAAAATGGCGACCACGCCCCTCCCTTTAAGCGCCCACCCTCATGTTTTCTCCTCACTCCTGCTCACATTCCACAGACTTAAACTTAGTCACTTGCTCACAGGTAAGCTGCAAGGGACTCCAAGACAGAGTCGTGCTTCCTGTGAAATGCCTCCCGTCCACTGCAAGGAACCCCTAGCTGGTTTCGCTGTATCCATCTTGTTTTCTCTTTACATTCTGTGGTGATACATTTAAAGCGCAAGCAAGAGTTTTCCACCGCTCTGAGGATAAAGTTCCCAGCCTTGGTGGGTCTCCAAGGCCCTTACCACCTCATCTGGCCCTCTAACTCAAGCCCAGACCTTCTGTCCCCCAGCTACACCCTCTGGGTTCAATGCATGGAGTGTATGGTGCCCCCACCCTAGTCAAGGCCTTTGTGGCTGCGGTACCCCCACCATCAACACCTCCCTCATTCTGCTCCCAGCCCCCTCTCGTTTCTCAGATCTAAAATTATTTTTCTGAGGCACCTCCTCTAGCCCCTGGAAGATCAGATGCCCTGATACTCACTCAGGCTTATGACCCTTCGTTCTGCATTTCAGTATCCCAGCTTGCACTGTATCATTTGTGAGATCCTTGAGTTAATGTTGAATGTTCCATATAACTAGGAGCTCCAGAGCTGTTGGCACTGTGACTGCTCACATGAGATCCTCACTAAAGACTGGTTGTCCTCGTTAATCACGGGGGCTGTAAGGAGTTTAGAGAGGGACTCCTGAGTCCCTGGCTCACCAAGGAGATGAACGTGGTGATATTCATGGAGATGGGGTTTGAGACAGGTCCCATGTCCAGTGTTGGAGATGCTGGCCTGGATCTGGACTGCTGGGGGAAGATCCTGCCTGAATCAACTGACACCAGGTTCTCCTTCCGGTCCAAGGTTACTATAGATAAAACTGCCAAAAAGGTAGCCATCTGGTGTGTTGGGCATTGTGTCCAACTTCAGGGCAGAACGTTTTCCTGTCTGTCTTCCAGAAGTGCCCCTAAAAGGCCTTCTTGGAGGTCTTGGCATTTTGAGTCCTCACCTTGTTCCCTATCACTCAGAGGTGGGTGATGGGATCCCGCTTGTGAACCAGGGTTGAGGTCACTCCCTGCACAAGTTGTCCATGGATGATCATGCAAAATAGTTCTCAAGGGGGCAGAGGGTGGGCCTTATAGGATATGCAGGAGAGTGCATTTAATGTCACAGTGATGGGGCAATACAGCTAGCATTTAGAACAAGGGACTAGACTGAGGATGCTGTGTGGTTTGCATCACCCATGGCAGCCTGGCCACAAAGGGTCCTCACCAACATGGGTATAGAGCTTCCCTCCTGAGAAACCAATGTGGGGTGATGTAAAGAAGTGCCTGGTCGAGCAGCACTGTGACCTGGACTAGAACGAGGGCCTCTTCACCATCAGTCTGGACCTTCCTTCACAGCTCATTCTCACTTCTCAGCCCACCCCCTTGAGCTGCAGTGGAGATTTGGATGAGGTACCAGGAAATACCAGGAAGATTCTTCGGGCCTTACACCCAAAGTTTCTTACAAAGCCCCACCATTTTACCCCAGAGTCGATCCATTTCCCAGCGGGATTCCTTTACCCTCCAATCCCCTGCTGCCACCTTCCTCTTAGCTTTTAATTCCCTGTGTCTCAAGGTACAGCCACACTCCTTCTCCAGATCAGGGACTTCAGAGCAAGATAGAAAACCTTCTGAATCCGAATCCCTCTGTGGCCTGAGCCTGTAGTCGGGGAGGAGAGGGCAGCACCAGGGCCTGGTGCCCTGCCAGCACTGGCAGCTGGATGAGCAGCTATAATGGGATTAGGGCTGGCTATGCCCACCTCCCTGCATGCTGCCCCAAACCTCCCTCCCTCTTCTCTCCCTCCCTTCTTCCCTTGGCTCCTGATTAGGATGCAGCCCTGGCTCTACCTACCCCAGCCAGGCCCCTCTCATTGTCCTCTCCTCCCCTGGCTCTGCTAGTGCCTAGCAACCCTCACAGGGGAGCCCTTTCCCACCACTATCCTGCCCCTCACCATGCCCTGGGCTCTGAGTACACACAAGCATGGCTCTCCTTTGTAGTCATTGCAAAAAAAAAAAAAAAAAAAAAC